CTTTAAATTCGTTAGCATAGCTAGCTAACCAGATGCTAATAACAACAGATCGCCACTGTGCTTACAACTAAAGACACAGCCACACAAACACTGCGGCATGTGTACGGCTCCTTATGGGTACTGCAATATTTGAAGGGCTGGAGCGGCGTTCCGGTGCTCTCTGTCAGCACTCCTTTCAGACGAGACATATACCACGTGAAGACACGTTACGCTCGTGTTGTGTTCATGGAACCTGTCCTTGGCTAGGAAAAACAGGTACTCGCTTGTTTAATTATTTTTGCGGTCTAGATCTCTTCTTCTTTTTTGAAGTGAGAAGTTGTTCGTCAGTCGGACTGACTCCCCCCCACCCCCAAAACGAAAACTCTTCGGTTCTCCACGAATTACGCAAGTCACCCAAATCAGCGTTAAAAAAGCGGGAGGCGCCGAAAAATCCCCTATTAATGTATTGATTATAGCTCCGGGTCCGTATAGGTCGGCGTCTGGGTCCGGATCCGGACCGCGGTCCGCCTGTTGCCGATCCCTGGGCTAGAGGGAAAGCTAACGACTGGGCCTGAAACTCTGATTGTGGGTGACTCTGCTGTAAGAGATGTAAAAGGTCTGTGTAGTAAGAACAACACCAAAGTACTCTGTTTTCCCAAGGATGTGGTCTCTGACTTGGCTGAGAAGATCCTGCATATTGGGGCTGAACATCCGACTGTGAAGAATGTGGTACTACACATTGGAACAAATGATGTTGTGAAACAACAGTCAGAAGTGCTGAAAGAAGACTTTAAATGTTTGTTGGAATCTGTCAGCTCTCTAAATGCAGAGGTGTTCATCAGTGGCCCTCTACCGCCAGTCAGAAGAGGAGTGGAGAGATTCAGCAGATTGTTTGCACTGAACACCTGGCTTTCAACGGCCTGTACTGACCATTCTGTCCATTTTATTGACAATTTTAACTTTTTCTGGGATCGCAGACATCTTTTCAAGGCAAATGGAGTTTGCCTGAACAAGTCAGGAGTGAAATAGTTTATCTCTAACATATTCAACTGCCTGCGTCATCAATCTGTTCCCTCTGCCAAGGACAAGCGGCAAGAGGAATCAAAACAGGAGAAAGACACAACACATCGCGCAGAAAACCCTGAAGAAGTATCACTGCACCCGCCTGAGGAATGTTCTGATTATGGGAGACCTATGAGACAAATGGAGGAGTCTCCACTGCCCGTCCCCCCCCCCCCTGTCAACGCCTTTGAGGATACTCTTCATTTATCCCCCAGCTCTCTCTACTCTCCGCTCACCCTCTCACCCTCGCCCACCCCCCTGGAGTTTCGATGACCGCATGAAGGCGATACGCAGGGTTGGCAGCATGTCCTTTACCCCCGCCCCTCAACGACGCCAACCAAAATTACCGAAGCAGAGATGCGCACCATCTCCCCCGGCTTCATCACCATGCCTACCACAATCATCCAAACCAAACAATACAAGGAAGATGGAAGCAGATTTCCAAACCCCCCTTTCTACAGTGTAGCCCTCACCCTGCCCTCCTATGATGAGAGGAGCAGGGTGGTGGGTCCTCCCTCCCCTTCAAAGCCTGATAGGGATGTGTGTACAAAATGCTGCAAACTGATATCTGCTGGGTCCAGGCTCAAGGGCATATGGTACTCAACTCTTTCCAGGACATGCCGGGACCCTGCCTGCCTGTAGCTTTGCCGATATCTGTGTTGATAGGTAATAGATTAAGAGCGGTGAATCATCTTAGATACAGGAAGCGCTCAAACGTTTGTGTGAGTTTATCAAATGTAGCAGTGATTCCATGTCAGCCACAGCTTGTTACAAAAAACATGACTGATAGTGTGTTTAACAAACTTAAACTAGCTTTATTAAATGTCAGGTCTCTGGCAGGAAAAACATTTTTAATCAATGATTTTATCACTGAGCACAATCTCGATTTTATGTTTTTAACAGAAACTTGGATTGAACAAAATAACAGTGCAGCTGTTCTTATCGAATCAACCCCTCCCAACTGTAGTTTTATGAGTCAGGAAAGAATGCATAAGAGAGGAGGTGGAGTTGCTATTCTGTTCAATGATTCCCTTCAATGCAGGAAGACATCTTATGGGAACTTTGCTTCTTTTGAATATGTGGCCCTTCAGCTGAAATGCTCCTCTCGAGCTCTGTTCCTAAATATCTATAGACCACCCAAATACTGTGCAAGCTTTTTTGATGACTTTACTGAACTGCTGTCTATAGTGTGTATTGACTTTGACCGTCTAGTCATTGTTGGTGATTTTAACATCCATGTTGACAACCCCCAGGACAGGGGGCTAAAGAACTGTTTTGTGTTCTTGATAGCTATGGACTGACTCAGCATGTGACGGAGCCCACGCACAATAAGGGGCACACTCTGGACTTAATTATCTCAAAGGGTCTGAATATCTCTAAGGTTGTGGTGACTGATGTTGCACTCTCTGACCATTCCTGTGTTTTCTTTGAGAGCTCTATTTCTGTTCACAAAAATGTTCAAAAAGAGGTAACCACAAAGCGATATTTAACTGAAAACACTAGGGAAATGTTTACTCAGAATTTTTCTTTCACACTTGCCCCTGCTAACATCTCAGTAAATTAGCTAGTAGATCATTTTAATTCAAAGACTAAAAATGTTATAGATGCCATTGCTCCAACTAAGGTAAAGGAAGTGTCTGTCAAGAAAATATCTCCATGGAGAAAGGCCATGAGCGTGAAAACAGAAAAAAGAGAATGTCGAAAAGCTGAACGCAGGTGGCGAAAAACAAATCTCCAGGTTCACTTTGAAATCTATAAAGAGAGACTTGGCCATTAAAATTTGGAATTGAAAAACGCACGACAATCGTTCTTCTCTGAGATCATTACCAAAAACAAAAACAACGCACGTGCCTTGTTTGCTACCGTCAACAGACTAACTAACCCCCCAGTGTCAGTAGCCTCTGAATTTCTATCCACCAGGGCGTGCAATGATTTTGCCTTCTTCACTGACAACATTCAGAAAATCAGACAAGCAGTCAGTGCCTCTGCATCAGGAACAGCAAATGTGTTGTCCCTATGTCCACCTAACATCAATTCAAACACCATGACACAATTCCATCAGATTAACGATAAAAACCTAGAGGACATTATTCAACTTCTGAAATCCTCCTCCTGCTGCCTTGATATTATTCCAACAGGATTTTTCAAAGATGTTTTTCGTTGCATGGCCTCAGATCTACTTCATATAGTAAACAAATCTCTTCACTCAGGTATTTTTCCACAGGCCCTGAAAACTGCAGTCATTAAACCGCTCTTAAAAAAGAATAATCTAGATGCTTCAGTGATGAACAATTACAGGTCCATATCAAACCTCCCATTTCTAGGTAAAATCATTGAAAAAGTTGTTTTTCAACAGTTGAGTCATTTCTTGCATTTAAATAGCTGTTTCGATGTGTTCCAGTCAGGCTTTCGTCCAAACCACAGCGCTGAGACTGCTCTTGTAAAGGTCTTTAATGACATCCACTTAAACACAGACAGTGGCAGAACTTCAGTGTTAGTATTATTAGATCTCAGTGCTGCGTTTGACACTGTTGACCACAGCATATTACTAGACCGACTGGAGAACTGGGTGGGACTTTCGGAAACAGTTCTGAATTGGTTTGAATCCTACTTAAAGGACAGAAACAACTTTGTTTCTATAGGTAAATACACATCTGAGTTGACAAATATGACATGTGGGGTACCTCAAGGCTCCATCTTGGGGCCTCTTCTCTTTAACATCTACATGCTACCACTGGCTCAGATAATGAAGAACAACAAAATAAGTTACCATAGCTATGCAGATGACACACACATTTACATAACAATTTCACCAGGAGACTATGCTCCAATTCAAACACTGAGTAAGTGCATTGAACAAATCAATGACTGGATGTGTCAGAACTTTCTCCAATTAAACAAAGATAAAACTGAGGTAATGGTTTTTGGAGCCAAGTCAGAACGTATAAAAGTTAGCGCTGAGCTTCAGTGTGCAATGTTCAAAACAACAGAGAGCCAGAAATCTAGGTGTAGTCATGGACTCTGACCTGAGTTTCAACAGTCACATTAAAACAGTTACTAAATCAGCCTACTATCACCTAAAGAATATATCTAGGATTAAAAGACTAATGTCACAGCAGGATTTGGAAACACTTGTCCATGCTTTTATCTTCAGTAGACTACTGCAATGGTGTCTTCACAGGTCTCACTAAAAAATCTATTAGAAAGCTGCAGCTGATTCAGAACGCCGCTGCTCGAGTCCTCACTAACACTAAGAAAGTGGATCACATCACTCCGGTTCTGAAGTCTTTACACTGGCTTCCTGTGTGTCAAAGAATAGATTTCAAAATACTGCTGCTGGTTTATAAAGCACTAAATGGTTTAGGCCCAAAATACATTTCTGACCTCCTGCTAAATGATGAACCATCCAGATCTCTCAGGTCTTCAGGGACTGGTCAGCTTTCTGTCCCCAGAGTCAGAACTAAACATGGAGAAGCAGCGTTCAGTTATTATGCTCCAAATATCTGGAACAAACTCCCAGAAACCTGCAGGTCCGCTGCAACTCTGACTACTTTTAAATCCAGCAAGAAGACTTTTCTTTTTGTCGCTGCTTTTAATTGAACTATTCACATCTTAGACTGCACTGTAACTTTTATCCATGTATTTTTTCTTTTAATGTTTATTTTATTAGCTTTTCTTTTTTATGACTGATTTTAAATGCCATTTTCTTAATGTCTTTCATTTTTTGTAAAGCACTTTGAATTGCCTTGTTTTGAAAAGTGCTATATAAATAAAGTTGCCTTGCCTTGCCTTGCCTTGCCTTGCCTTGCCTTGCCTTGCCTTGCAGCAACTTTAATTTATCCGTTTATTACGATCTGATCTTTAAAGAGGATATGATTCTGCAGAAACTCATGACTTTGAAACCATGAGCAGAATAAACATTATTTTCAGTGTGTCTTTCTAAACCTGTTTTTGTCCAGGTCGCCATGACGTCCGTCCAGGATCAGATCAGGAAGAAAAGAGATGGAAAAACGCTGGCGAACGAAGAAATTAAAACATTTATTGACGCTGTTACAAACAAAACGATTCAGGACTGTCAGACAGGTAAAAACTGTTTAACGTCTGTTCTACCTAGCAACAGTCTGTTATCCTTAGCAACAGTCTGTTATCCTTAGCAGTGGTCTGTTCTCCTTAGCAGCAGTCTGTTATCCTTAGCGACAGTCTGTTCTACCTAGCAACAGTCTGTTATCCTTAGCAACAGTCTGTTATCCTTAGCGACAGTCTGTTCTCCTTAGCGACGGTCTGTTATCCTTAGCAGCGGTCTGTTCTCTTTGGCAGCAGTCTGTTATCCTTAGCAACAGTCTATTCTACTTAGCAACAGTCTGTTCTACTTAGCAGCAGTCTGTTCCCCTTAGCAGCAGTCTGTTATCCTTAGCAACAGTCTGTTCTCCTTAGCAACAGTCTGTTCTCCTTAGCGACAGTCTGTTATCCTTAGCAACAGTCGGTTCTCCTCAGCAATAGTCTGTTCTCCTCAGCGGCAGTCTGTTCTCCTTAGCGACAGTCTGTTATCCTTAGCGACAGTCTGTTCTCCTTAGCAACAGTCTGTTATCCTTAGCAACAGTCTGTTCTCCTTAGCAACAGTCTGTTATCCTTAGCAGCAGACTATTCTACTTAAGAACAGTCTGTTAGCGAAAATTAACAACCCCTGGATTGTTCAAATTGACCAATCAAAATCGAGTAAACTAAGCCATGTAATAACACTGATTATCATTTACCATGATGGATACACGCTGCGTTTAATTCAGAAGTGTTTTTGGACTGTTTGAGGCTTCTCATTATGGGACATTTTGTGCATCAGCTCAACAACGTCCCATAATGAGAACATTTTAGTGGTTAGGGTTAGGTAGAGTTTTTTTAAATGTACACGGTCCCTTTCTTCATGTTGTTTCATCCCCTTTTTCCTGCGTTCAGGAGCCATGCTGATGGCCATCTGGCAGAAGGGAATGGTCCCCGAAGAGGTCGAGACGCTGACCCGTGAGATGATGTCATCGGGGGAAGTGATGTCATGGCCGAAGGAGTGGGCGGGGCTTGTGGTCGACAAACACTCAACAGGAGGCGTCGGAGATAAAGTCAGTTTGGTGTTAGCACCCGCCCTAGCTGCCTGCGGCTGTAAGGTAAAATTAAATGTATTTATGTAAATGTTTTATTTATTTAGGGAACTCAGCTCGTATGTGACCACCCAGAGGGCCTTTATTTTTAAATCAGTTCTTGCCGTGATATCTAGTCTGTTTTGGAGGTAAGTAAGTAGTTATTTGTAGGCTTTGCCATGTTACAACATCTTGATCATTACATTTAAAAAAAAATCATAACAGTTAGATTTAACCATTCGCTGCGTAAGATCACAACATTCTTATTATAGTAAACTAAGCTGAACACAGCTCGTTAAGACATTTTAATGGGCTTTTATTTTGATATCCATTCCTACACATTCTTCAATCTTAATTTGATGGGAACACAGCGCATTTGTGGCATTTTAGAGGGAATTTATTTTTGAAATTCCACATCAGAATGTGCTGATATTTTCTGCCGATAATCAGCTCAACGGCATATAGGTGTAAGCAGGGGTAACGTGGCTATTTTTATAGGTGGTGTGATGTGACCACATTGAGAGCAAAATGAAGAGATCTATGGATACCTATCTCAACACCCAGATGAAACGAACTGTTAACAGATTTACTTTTTCTTTTATGGATATTTTACAAATCACTCTTTTAAACTTTATTCTTTTTTTAATGTCATATAGTATTTCATACCTGTTTTTCATTTATTCTATTATTTTTTTATAACTATAATGATCATATAATGTGTGCCTCGGAAATAATTGTTTACATTAATGTGACCAAACGTTTGAGACCCACTGAGATACCACTCAGAGAGTCCTTTAGTTCAACTGAGTCTCTCAGTCTGACAGGAGAGGACTCTCCTCCACCTTGTTGTTGAAAAACTCCTATAATCCGTTAGCGTAGCTCGCATACACCAAGAAGCTAGGAACAACGATCTCCGGTAACCAGTGCGCTCCTCTCTCTCGCTACTCTCTCTCAGAGCACTCTGTCTGTGATGTCATAATGAACTCAGGTGTGTGTCTGTGATGTCATAATGACCTCAGGTGTGTGTTTGTGATGTCATAATGACCTCAGGTGTGTGTTTGTGATGTCATAATGACCTCAGGTGTGTTTATCAGGTGCCGATGATCAGTGGGCGGGGCTTAGCGCACACAGGAGGAACTCTGGATAAACTGGAGTCAATTCCTGGATTCAACATCCACCAATCAGCTGCTCAGGTGCAACAACATATTATATTATGTTATATTTCATATTATTGTATTTCTTTATTCACCTTTGGGGTATTTACTGACGTATCTTATGTAGTGGAATTAAAATCTCTTAAGCTTGTTTTAACCACAGACCTTATTTCAGGCTAAAACACATTCAGAAAACCATTGACTTCAAGACCAGAGGACAGGAAGTGATGTCACATCTGGGTTTAAGACTCATTCCTGCAGCACTTTATTTTCTTTGCTAACTCATTCTCGGAACCAACAACAAGTTAGCGTTTACCTTTCAGTGTGTGTTTGTTGTATGGCTTTCGGGACTTGGACTTCACATTATATTGATTTAGTGTGACTGTTCAACACAAAGTAAACAACAACATTACCTCGACATTCACCCTGCAGTTGTCAGTACCAGGATAACCAGGAATATTGACAGTTAAACACCTGAACTGCTGAAACAATTTCATAACATTCATCTGCTACTTAGTAATTATGTATCTATTATCTAATATATCATTCCAATAACTTTTATATAGACTCATATTGCACTATTCCACTTTTTTTTTAAAGAAAAAACATTTTTCTTTTTGTTTTACTTTTAATATAGTATATTTTAATATTGGTTAATATTGTCTGCTTATCTGTATTATCGTGTTGCATTGTTGGAGAAGCCTGTGACCTAAGATTTTCAACTACATAATTACTCTGTAGCTATGTTAGTTTGACAATAAAGAACCTTGAACCTTGAATACTACGTGCGTTCAGGATTCCTGATAAATAATACATGTAGGGATGGATATGTTCACGATAAAAAATACAAAAAATGCATTCCCCCCTGTTACGTCTCGGCTGTCGAGGGGTATGATTCTCGCTTCGGGTGCGAGAGGTCCCGGGTTCAAATCCCGGACGAGCCCCCATTTAAGTTACGTCCCGGCTCGTAGAAAGAGGAAAATAACATATAACGAGTTGGAATTGGTAAATTGGAAGTTGTTTATTGAGAGTATCAATAAAGTTGGCAACAAACAGCCACAATCAAAGCAAAAGGCCACAAAGGCACCGGTTTAAACAAACAATAAAAGGAACTAAGGGAGACTCTTTAAATAAGAGTTAGTATAAACAAAATAACTAACAACAAAATAACCTAAAGAAAACCTCACTTCTAAAGTGGGATAAAAAGAGTAAGGCTAACAAAAATAGGCAGTCACCAAAACACAGCCTGGGTACAAGTTAACCTCTGTTAACGTTTGTATTACAAGATAAACAGAGTGACAAGAACAAGCACAAATATACAACCAACTGAGTTAACCACTGTTAACGGGCTATCACACGAATGTACCGAGAGCCGTCTGCCACAAATTCAGACCTCTGTCGACTAACTGAGGTGCACACATTCTTGTAGTTGTCCCTGGAAGGTGTGTGCGGTGATTGGGGATTTGGCCCGGGCATGCTCCAATCCAGATCTTCGGTCACGCCTACCGTGGGAGGGACAAGGAGCCGGCATCCAATGGCGTCTGAGCAATGGCACAGCTCATATACATATAACACACAGCTGCAAACACTTACTGAAAGGTTAATGGGCGGCGGCCGTAACACCCACTTTATTTTTTGCAGGATTTTCCAAATAAATAACATTTAACTTAATTAATCTGTAAGGAAATTCTTGTTCCAGAAATTGTTTTAGAAATAAAATAACAAAAGAATAAAAAAACAAAACTGAATATACAAAAAAAACATATTAAAATGTAAAATAACAACACATGCCTGAATACATGTAGTAAATGTTGGGGAATATTTTCCAAGGCCCATAACTTTGACCCAGTTTATCAGTTCAAACTGTCCTGACTGAGCACACGCACCTCGTAACCTTGGCTGCTGTGCTCTCAGTGTTCTGTCTCCCTGTTCCTGCCTGTTGGCGTCAGCTGATAGAGGTGTTATGATTTTATCTTGTTATGTAGCATGTTGATGATTCTCTCTGAACTAGTTAAATACATGGGTCTGGGGTAGAGTTCTTCAGAGTTGACGTGGCAACTCTACCGTGCAGTCAGATCGTGGCTGCTGTGACTTGTGATGTGAATTCTCCGGCCGAAGCTCCAAATAAACGATCAGTGTTTGACATCAAAGCTCCTGCTCTTCCCGTGTCTCTTTCCTGAGTCGGTGACTCCCACTGCATTGCTGCTACACAGAAGTTTCCCTTACAGTAAAAATAATTGATGTGTATTTTATTCATTATAATTTCTTTAAATGTGCAGATCCTGGAAATCCTGGCCTCGGTGGGCTGTTGCATTGTGGGTCAGACGGAGACTTTGGTCCCTGCAGATCGAGTCCTGTACGACCTGAGAGACGCCACCAGCACCGTCGACAGCCTGCCTCTCATCACTGGTACTGGGGTTACTGATGGAGGCCTAACACTGACATTAAAAAAAATAAAACAATTAATAATATTTACAAAATAAGTTCAGGAAATATAAAAATACATTTAATTTCAATAGGACATATATTATGAATAGAAGAATAAATAATTGTAATGACTAATTTTAATATGAATGTATACCCCAAAGTCTTCTTCACATGGCTTTAGTTAACTTCCTTATATATTATATTTATTTATTTAAAATAAAGATCAACAAATAAATATATAAGTAAATACATAATTTAGAATAACAATTTTTTTGTCATGTTTATATTTAACAACTTATTTTTTTATTTTAATATAAATGTTTTCTGTTTATATTTATTTGTATTTATTTATTTGTATTTATATATTTCTTTATTTCTATTATAATGGCAGCTTTATTCTGTAGTTACTAACATGACATAAGAGTGCTCCAGTCAGTGCCGATTCTGTGGGGGCCCTAGGCAAACATTCATTACATTACATTACATTACATTGCATTTAGCTGACGCTTTTATCCAAAGCGACTTACAATAAGTACATTCGACCAGGAAGACACAACCTTGAAGAAAACAGAATCATATAAGTACATCAGGTTTCATAGAGCCAAACATTTCAAGTGCTACTCAACTGGCTTTAGGTAAGCCAGTCCTTTATTAGTATAAAAGTGCTTCGTTAATAGTTCTAACGCTCGGCATTCACTGGGGGCCCCTCAAACCCCCCCCTCCCCGTAGCGGAGCAAGGCAACGCAACTTAAAATAAGAAGCAGCATTTTACGGCGCGCTGTGCATGGGGCCGCCTTGAGGGGGTTTCCCGAAATGTCGTTGCAGTTAATTAAAGGATGTTTCATGTTGTCGTTGCTGTGGACCTTCTTAATCTACCTTCTTTGGGGGCCCCCTTCTGGTCCGGGGCCCCAAGCAGTTGCCTGCCTTGCCTGTCCGCAAGCGGCGGCCCTGGCTCCAGTTACAGGAATACTGAAATATACTCTGTCTCATAAATATACATTTAAATATATGAGATGTTTCTGTTCCAGCCTCGATCGTCTCAAAGAAAGGAGCCGAGTCTCTGTCGGCGCTGGTTCTGGACGTGAAGTTTGGACGAGCCGCTCTGTACAAAGACCTGGACAGCGCTAGAGAGCTAGCTCAGTCACTGGTGAGTATTTATATTTATATAACCAATACTACAAAGCTTTGCATACATGCTTAAAAATAATAGGGTTTTTTGTACTTTTATTATTATTTATTATTATTATTATTAATGCTTTTATTTTTATTATTTTGACGTATTATTCTATTGTTAGCTGAAGTTTTTATTGTTTAGAATTAATTTTGATTGCTAACAATAGTTGTTGCGTTATCCAGGTGCATACTGGGAACTTGCTGGGCATGCGCACGGCGGCGGCACTCAGCTGTATGGACGCTGTGATTGGTCGATGTGTGGGCAACAGTCTGGAGGTGATGGAGTCTCTGGAGACGCTGAAGGGGCGAGGACCTGAAGACCTGATGGAGCTCGTCACAACTCTGGGTAACCACGTTAAAGCTGGACCCTGAAGGCCTCACTGAAGTCAGGGTTTAAAGACATAAGATTTAAGGGATAGTAAAAGCCTTTAAAAACCATAACGAGCTCATGATAAGTACATTTATTTATTACGAGTCATATTTACTTTTTTTTCCTAATTTGTATAGCTTATTTATTTATAGAAAAGTAATTATTTATGATATTGGCAGGGCTTAAAATAAATAAATTACTCAATTAATTAATTAATTAATTAAACATAAAAATGTATAATAAGTTGAATACGAAATGTTCCTTAAACAAAAAACAATAATATATTAGTTTGAATTGTTTTGGGAAAAAAAGTTTTAAAAAGTATACATTGTTATTTTTTTTAGGCGGCTTGTTGCTGCAGATGACTGGCTCTGTGTCCGACCTATCAGAGGGCAGGAAGAAGATTTCTGACGCTGTGATTGGTGGAGCTGCTCTCTCAAAGTTCCAGGCCATGATGGAGGCTCAGGGAGTAGCCAATGAGACGGCTCGGTCTCTATGCTCCGCCCACTCAGATTACTACAGCGTCCTGAGGAAAGCTGAGCATCAGATGGAGCTGAAGACACCGACAGATGGTAAACAAACAAACAAACAAATGCAGGACTTTTACTGTAACAGAGTATTCCTACACTGTGGTACTTCTACTTTGTAGTACTCTAAGTACAAGATCTGAGTACTTCTACTTTTACTCAATATCTGAGTATTTTTGGTAAATGAGTTTCCTCTCGTCCTGCAGGAGAGGTGTTGGAAATCGATGGTTTGGCTTTAGCTGAAGTTCTCCATAAATTGGGGGCGGGACGATCGAAGGTGGGAGAACCTGTCAATCACAGCGTGGGGGCGGAGCTTCTGGTGTTGCTGGGTCAAAGAGTCAGCAAAGGTCAGAGGTCAACGGTGATGGGTTACTGTATTTATTCATTAATGGCTTGTTGATGATGAAATACTTCGCTGTTACTTTTGATTTGATTAATTTCGAACGTGTAAAACAAAAATACGAAAATAATAATAACAAAATGAAAATAATTATGATTATTATTATGATGACTCTACAAACTCAAGCAGATAAACAAAAATATTATTGATTTACAAATTATATATAAAACAAAATCCACCTAATTACACATCTGTTACTTTGTAGTGTGTGTGTGTGTGTGTGTGTGTGTGTGTGTGTGTGTGTGTGTGTGGGTGTGTGTGTGTGTGTGTGTGTGTGTGTGTGTGTGTGTGTGTGTGTGTGTGTGTGTGTGTGTGTGTGTGTGTGTGTGTGTGTGTGTGTGTGTGTGTGTGTGTGTGTGTGTGTGTGTGTGTGTGTGTGTGTGTGTGTGTGTGTGTGTGTGTGTGTGTGTGTAGTGTGTGTGTGTGTGTGTGTGTGTGTGTGTGTGTGTGTGTGTGTGTGTGTGTGTGTGTGTGTGTGTGTGTGTGTGTGTGTGTGTGTGTGTGTGTGTGTGTGTGTGTGTGTGTGTGTGTGTTGTGTGTGTGTGTGTGTGTGTGTGTGTGTGTGTGTGTGTGTGTGTGTGTGTGTGTGTGTGTGTGTGTGTGGTGTGTGTGTGTGTGTGTGTGTGTGTGTGTGTGTGTGTGTGTGTGTGTGTGTGTGTGTCTCTGTGTGTCAGTCTGTGTGTCTCTGTGTGTCAGTCTGTGTGTCTCTGTGTGTCAGTCTGTGTGTCTCTGTGTGTCAGTCTGTGTGTCTCTGTGTGTCAGTCTGTGTGTCTCTGTGTGTCAGTCTGTGTGTCTCTGTGTGTCAGTCTGTGTGTCTCTGTGTGTCAGTCTGTGTGTGTCAGTCTGTGTGTCAGTCTGTGTGTCTCTGTGTGTCTCTGTGTGTGTGGTCAGTGTGTGTCAGTCTGTGTGTCTCTGTGTGTGTGTGTGTCAGTCTGTGTGTCAGTCTGTGTGTCTCTGTGTGTGTGTGTGTCAGTCTGTGTGTCAGTCTGTGTGTCTCTGTGTGTGTGTGTCACTCTGTGTGTCAGTCTGTGTGTCTCTGTGTGTGTGTGTGTCAGTCTGTGTGTCTCTGTGTGTGTGTCAGTCTGTGTGTCAGTCTGTGTGTCAGTCTGTGTGTCTCTGTGTGTGTGTGTGTCAGTCTGTGTGTCTCTGTGTGTGTGTCAGTCTGTGTGTCAGTCTGTGTGTCAGTCTGTGTGTCTCTGTGTGTGTGTGTGTCAGTCTGTGTGTCAGTCTGTGTGTCAGTCTGTGTGTCTCTGTGTGTGTGTGTGTCAGTCTGTGTGTGTCAGTCTGTGTGTCAGTCTGTGTGTCTCTGTGTGTGTCAGTCTGTGTGTGTCAGTCTGTGTGTCTCTGTGTGTGTCAGTCTGTGTGTGTCAGTCTGTGTGTCTCTGTGTGTGTCAGTCTGTGTGTCTCTGTGTGTGTGTGTGTCAGTCTGTGTGTCTCTGTGTGTGTGTGTGTAAGTCTGTGTGTCTCTGTGTGTGTGTGTGTCAGTCTGTGTGTCGCGGTGTGTGTGTGTGTCAGTCTGTGTGTCAGTCTGTGTGTCTCTGTGTGTGTCAGTCTGTGTGTCTCTGTGTGTGTCAGTCTGTGTGTCTCTGTGTGTGTCAGTCTGTGTGTCTCTGTGTGTGTGTGTGTCAGTCTGTGTGTCTCTGTGTGTGTGTGTGTCTCTGTGTGTGTGTGTGTGTCAGTCTGTGTGTCTCTGTGTGTGTGTGTGTGTGTGTCAGTCTGTGTGTGTGTGTGTGTCAGTCTGTGTGTCAGTGTGTGTGTAATGTGTGTTTCTGTGTTTTCAGGCGCCTCCTGGCTGCGGCTGCATTTCGAGACTCCGCGTGTGACTGCAGATCAGATCGCTCGCCTGCAGGGGGCGCTGACTGTCGGATCAAACACACCCACACACACTCACACACACACTTTAGTGAGGGAACTACTGCCGCCTCAGTGACGCTATATTTAATACTTAAACACAACTTGATCATGTGACTGAAGTCCATGCTTTTACATAAAACAGTTTACAAAAGTCACGCTTACTAAAAATAAACTTCAATAAAAGGACAAAGGTGTGAATATGTTTCCAATGTATAACCAGTGGCGGTTCTAGACCAATTTGACTGGGGGGGCCACTGGGGGGCCAGTTATTTTCTGAGGGGGTAAATAATAAATAAATGCAGGACGAAAAAGAGAACTAGACAGTATGAAGTAATTGCGCATAAGAAAACAATGCAATACAGTTATTGGTATTTGTTTCAGTACACTTATTTATTTCAGATAGATCTTATAGTTATTACTGTTAGCTTCAGCTTAAAGGGATAGTGGAAAATGGAACCTCAAATAGTTTCGTTTTAACTTATATACAAGCATAATTACGTACCAAAACAATCACACCTGATTAAAAAAATATAATAATTGCCTTACGCATGTTAGAAGCACTTTATTGCAGCTTCCCCGAAGTTTTTTAGAAAGGAAATGTTCGACTCAGCCAAACCGGAAGTGACGAAAACTTAGGAAGACGATACGATAACAAACCATGGCGTCTATGCAGAATGAACGTGGAAGGGCAAATATACCAGACAAAGAAGAAGGATTGTACGAGGTATCCAGTGATGATAGCGAGTCAGAAACATCCTCTCGGCTTTCCTACGAAAATGTCGTTTTAGGAACTGAATCTGAATCCGGTTCAGTAAGCGACGATGGTGACAATATTGAGCCAGACGATGGACCATTACGTCCTTATTTGCCCGAGCCCGAGGTGATGGTTCACGGCATGGGCAATGGCGAGGATGACCAGGACCAGGCGCCAGATGATGCACCCCTACGCACAAATAATCTTGACTGGTAGGTCCCTAAGCATAGCTCACGCATCTTAAGATCACCTGTAGCCTTTACAAATATTAGTAATTGTTAACCAGTTAAGCCCGAAGGTCCCCCTAGTGGACCCCTCCCACAGTTTTTTTTTCTCTCACATGTCTCAGGGCTTCTTAACATTTATGAAACTATTAATGTTTCATACCCTTTTAAAGGTAAGAAACTCCGCTAACTGACAATAAGAACAATTGTTAGCTAGAAAAAACACAAGAGTAATACCAAGCCTTTGAATTAGCATTGAGCGAAACAATGCTAACTAATGCTAACGCTTTTTTACACACAACACACGGTGGAAATGCCCTTATTACTATCTTAACTGCACACACAAGATATACGATTTAAAGCTGAGATTCCACACATGTAATGTCATCACTGTCCGACCTCGAATTCCTGGAGCTATCAGCCAGAAAAGAGAAAGTAAACAACATCCGGTTCCAAAAATATTACAATAATTACGTCTTACCTTTTTTTATTTGTGATCAAAAGTTGTGTTCAACGGAATAAAAACGCATCTCAAGGTTAATCCAATGTCGTTGTGTCACGTAGAATTTTTTACTGATAATCAATCATCATATTTATGGCAATATACTCGGTACCATAATAAAGGTTGGCTATTCACATGCAAATGCTATTGAATGTCCGCCATTGTTTGTGCCCGTCTTCCTATGCTCTCGTCATCACCCGAAGATTCCCGACGATTCCCGAAGTATTTCGTTTCATTGAGAGGGCGCAGTAAAATTGAAAATAAAATGAAACTAGGCGCATGAAATTAAAAAAAATTGTTTATTATGCTTATTTTTAATAAAAATACATAAGTTAAACCCAAAATTCGCGGATTTCCACTATCCCTTTAAGTTATAGTGCAATGTTTGCACTAACACCATATTTATATAAAAATAAAGGCAATGAACAGTTACATCTCTACTTTACATCTACAATTACACGGATAAAATAGTTTAACTCACCTTCAATTATCGTCTCTCGAAACGTAGGTTTCAATCAGTCTTTCTTGGATGCAACAGCCTCTGATGATCCGAGATGAAAAGTGTTTGTTTTTGTCGCGCTTCAGCCGGACAGTGAAAGTGAGTGCACCGCACTAATGGGTCCGACTAGAATGACGAATCACGTTAGTTCCGCCTATTCCGTCATTCAATAAATCGTGTAATAAATCATACATTTTTTTCACTTTTCATTTTTAGGGGGGCCACAGGGGGGTCAGAGGTCAGTGTTAGGGGGGCACTGGCCCCCCCCTAGAACCACCCCTGTGTATAACTACAATATTAAATAAATGAAGTAAAAAGAAGAGCCTCTGAAATGAGGTAAAACTACAAAGTATAAATAAATACTCAAGTAAATAAACGCATTGTTGTTTTATTTGATTGTCAATTTTGAAGATGTTGACACAATCTACAGATAGTAAGGTTGAATATCGGTTAATAACCTGTTGCAAAAAACATGTTACTTGTCTGTTTGAACGGTGCTGTTGAATGTCAACAGATGCACTATCAAAATAAAGTGTTTTCGGAAATACTTGTGTGCTTTGGAGCGACATGCTGTAATGTCAAAGTACCTGTTGTGCCTTGTGGCCACTGGAGGGCAGCAGAGGAGCAAGTCAGAGCGACGATCAGTTGAGAATGAAAAGAAACACGACACAAAGCAACAAGTCTCCCTGAAATGAATACATGATGTTTGATACGATATATCCACACAAGCTTAGGGTCTGTTTTGCCTAATGTTCATCTTCATTTTGCACAAGCTGGGAATTATTTGTGGTAATGTGGTGTCTCAATGAAATGTTTACAAAGCTTTAGTGTGATGGGCAGCTTGGTCTTCACGTGATAGGAAGCGTTTTAAAAACAGACCATCATCCCTCCCGACCAACGTCTTCTGGAGATTATAAAGAACATTTGTTTTGGTCTGGCAACGTTTAGCACTGCCAACATTTGATTTCATATCATTTACTCCTCGTCAACAATGTAGAAGGTTTAGTGCGACATCTCCGGGTGAGCAGGCAGTCTGGTTCTGCTTGTGAAGGTGTGGTTGTGTTTAGTGTTGCCAAGTTCAGTTGACCAATCATATATTAGGCCAACAGTGAAAACACCCTCTCTGATGCATATGTGGTAACTGGCTGGGGTCCCCTTTAAATAGCTGACAACACCAACTCCTGCTGAGGGGATGGAGGAACCTGTGGACCCTCAATCTGAATCCAAAGTAGTTTTGCAGATGTTGGGGCTTCCCTTCACGAGGACAATAACAGAGGCATTCATGAGCCAATAGAAAGCAGCTTTATTTCACACATGTTAACATGTCAATGTTCAGCAGCTGTCAGCGGGTAACAGGGTGAACTTACTTCACACCATGACATGGTGGGTTTCCCCTCCTCAGATGGGCAGCTCTGGTCCACTAGGTCTCAATGCCTGCTAACTGTGAGGGACACAAAGAGAACAAAATCACGCACTACTCAAAGCACAACTTCTACAACATGATCACAGTGAGAGTTAGTTTGCTCACCCTTTCAAAGTGTCACACGGTGCAGTCCCTACGCTGAACGCAGACGAGGTTCCCCCAGAGGGAGAGGAGCCTGGAACACAAACACGTAGTCAGTTATATTGCCCACAATCTGCACACAAGAAAACTATTGACAGAAAATAAAACTAAAAAGCACTAGAGGACAGTAGACTTTAAAAACAAACAAGAGTTGCTCAAACACCAATTCAATACAGCATTACAGAAGGTTAAAAACCAGGCTGACTCTGACAGAGTAATAGATCCTCCTGGCTCCATCCAGAGGGGGACGCTCATACTCAGCTCTATGGGTTAAACACAGAAACAGATGTTCTAAAGAATAATAAGAGCTAGAAGAAAGTGAACACGTCCATAGCCAGCTCCCCGGGTTGCTCGGATGGCTATGAGCACTTCTGCACTTCTGCACTTCTGCACAACACGTACAAGTTGCTTCAAAAACTATTACAACTTTGACTAAAGCACCATATTAAAAACACATTGCTTGAAATAGACCTGGGGCCTCATTTATAAACGGTGCGTACGCTCAAAAGATGGTGTATGCCAGTTTCTACGCACTGCTTGCGATTTATAAAAAACTAACTTGACGGGAAAACTGCGACACCGTTGGCAGAAGAAAGAATGGAGAGAAACATGTGGAAATAATACCATCAATAGAATGTTACTCTCATTTATCATATAAGAAGAAACACTCTCCACTGCAGCACAGGCTGCAGTGGAGAGGCTGCGCGCAGCTGATCGACAGCTGGAACACAAACCAAATACAAATGAATAATTCAGATCCAGTCGTCATGACTCCACTCCGGAGGGATTCCCTTTCTTACAGTTTCTCATCAAACACACCGACACACCGCCTGAGGAAGGTTATGTGTATTTTGTTTTCACTTTAACTTTTCGGACCACTTATTTATTTAGGTGACGATCCGACCTCCATGCTGCTACTCTGGTTCAAACTGCATCCACCAAACAATGTGATTTCTCCACCTCCCCAAAAGAACCAACATCTGACTCAGTGTGAGATGTCTTTTTTAGCTGTTCTGTCCTCATTTCCTGCAATCTTCTTCATGCAGTCATCAGAATGAATCTCCATCCTCTCCATCAGTTCAGAGCAACTTTAACAGACGGTGACATCATCATCATGCTGGCTTTCCTCTGCCTGCTGGGCCTGGCTCTGGTTGCTGTGTCTTCTTCAGATGACCCTCCAATGGAGCTACAGCAAGACGCCTGTCCCTCCTTCTGGTTCTCCTTCAACGGCCGCTGCTACAAGTACTTCAACACAGAGACGACCTGGGCTGATGCAGAGCTCCACTGTGTGTCCCAGGCAGGGCCGCCCCTTGCCAACTTGGGGCCCCAAGCGACATTGTGAGATGAGGCCCCCCCCCCCCCCCAACCGACAGGAGTGAAAAAATGTTTGCAAATATAATTCCTGTTTATTATTATTATCAACAGTTACTTTTTTATACAGTGAGGTAAAAGGTAAATGTGCATGTATGTCGTTCAGTATGCGTTTACAGGTGAATACTAGCCTCAAAAAGATTAAAATATAATTAATGCAAATAAACTACTTCTACTAATAATCATAATCAATTCAATAATAAAAATACTATATTGTTTTATTATAATATAGTCAAGACAAAACATGCTTATGACATGCTCAAAAACTGATATTTCTTAAATCTGTATTCAAATATAGTAAATCAGTATTTCTCTGTGTTGTGGTTGACATGATGATGACTGTTAGGAGTTAAGGGGAGAGGCTGAGCGTCACCATGATGATGGCTGTTAGGAGTTAAGGGGAGAGGCTGAGCGTCACCATGATGATGACTGTTAGGAGTTAAGGGGAGAGACTGAGCGTCACCATGATGATGACTGTTAGGAGTTAAGGGGAGAGACTGAGCGTCACCATGATGATGACTGTTAGGAGTTAAGGGGAGAGGCTGAGCGTCACCATGATGATGGCTGTTAGGAGTTAAGGGGAGAGGCTGAGCGTCACCATGATGATGACTGTTAGGAGTTAAGGGGAGAGGCTGAGCGTCACCATGATGATGACTGTTAGGAGTTAAGGGGAGAGGCTGAGCGTCACCATGATGATGACTATTAGGAGTTAAGGGGAGAGGCTGAGCGTCACCATGATGATGACTGTTAGGAGTTAAGGGGAGAGGCTGAGCGTCACCATGATGATGACTGTTAGGAGTTAAGGGGAGAGGCTGAGAGTCACCATGATGATGACTGTTAGGAGTTAAGGGGAGAGGCTGAGCGTCACCATGATGATGACTGTTAGGAGTTAAGGGGAGAGGCTGAGCGTCACCATGATGATGACTGTTAGGAGTTAAGGGGAGAGGCTGAGCGTCACCATGATGATGACTGTTAGGAGTTAAGGGGAGAGGCTGAGCGTCACCATGATGATGACTGTTAGGAGTTAAGGGGAGAGGCTGAGCGTCACCATGATGATGACTGTTAGGAGTTAAGGGGAGAGACTGAGCGTCACCATGATGATGACTGTTAGGAGTTAAGGGGAGAGACTGAGCGTCACCATGATGATGACTGTTAGGAGTTAAGGGGAGAGGCTGAGCGTCACCATGATGATGGCTGTTAGGAGTTAAGGGGAGAGGCTGAGCGTCACCATGATGATGGCTGTTAGGAGTTAAGGGGAGAGGCTGAGCGTCACCATGATGATGGCTGTTAGGAGTTAAGGGGAGAGGCTGAGCGTCACCATGATGATGACTGTTAGGAGTTAAGGGGAGAGGCTGAGCGTCACCATGATGATGACTGTTAGGAGTTAAGGGGAGAGGCTGAGCGTCACCATGATGATGACTGTTAGGAGTTAAGGGGAGAGGCTGAGCGTCACCATGATGATGACTGTTAGGAGTTAAGGGGAGAGGCTGAGCGTCACCATGATGATGACTGTTAGGAGTTAAGGGGAGAGGCTGAGCGTCACCATGATGATGACTGTTAGGAGTTAAGGGGAGAGGCTGAGCGTCACCATGATGATGACTGTTAGGAGTTAAGGGGAGAGGCTGAGCGTCACCATGATGATGACTGTTAGGAGTTAAGGGGAGAGGCTGAGCGTCACCATGATGATGCACTGTTAGGAGTTAAGGGGAGAGGCTGAGCGTCACCATGATGATGACTGTTAGGAGTTAAGGGGAGAGGCTGAGCGTCACCATGATGATGACTGTTAGGAGTTAAGGGGAGAGGCTGAGCGTCACCATGATGATGGACGTTAGGAGTTAAGGGGAGAGGCTGAGCGTCACCATGATGATGACTGTTAGGAGTTAAGGGGAGAGGCTGAGCGTCACCATGATGATGACTGTTAGGAGTTAAGGGGAGAGGCTGAGCGTCACCATGATGATGACTGTTAGGAGTTAAGGGGAGAGGCTGAGCGTCACCATGATGATGACTGTTAGGGAGTTAAGGGGAGAGGCTGAGCGTCACCATGATGATGACTGTTAGGAGTTAAGGGGAGAGGCTGAGCGTCACCATGATGATGACTGTTAGGAGTTAAGGGGAGAGGCTGAGCGTCACCATGATGATGACTGTTAGGAGTTAAGGGGAGAGGCCTGAGCGTCACCATGATGATGACTGTTAGGAGTTAAGGGGAGAGGGCTGAGCGTCACCATGATGATGACTGTTAGGAGTTAAGGGAGAGGCTGAGCGTCACCATGATGATGACTGTTAGGAGTTAAGGGGAGAGGCTGAGCGTCACCATGATGATGACTGTTAGGAGTTAAGGGGAGAGGCTGAGCGTCACCATGATGATGACTGTTAGGGTTAAGGGGAGAGGCTGAGCGTCACCATGATGATGACTGTTAGGAGTTAAGGGGAGAGGCTGAGCGTCACCATGATGATGACTGTTAGGAGTTAAGGGGAGAGGCTGAGCGTCACCATGATGATGACTGTTAGGAGTTAAGGGGAGAGGCTGAGCGTCACCATGACGATGACTGTTAGGGAGTTAAGGGGAGAGGCTGAGCGTCACCATGACTGATGACTGTTAGGAGTTAAGGGGAGAGGCTGAGCGTCACCATGATGATGACTGTTAGGAGTTAAGGGGAGAGGCTGAGCGTCACCATGATGATGACTGTTAGGAGTTAAGGGAGAGGCTGGAGCGTCACCATGATGATGACTGTTAGGAGTTAAGGGGAGAGGCTGAGCGTCCCATGACGATGACTGTAGGAGTTAAGGGGGAGAGGCTGAGCGTCACCATGATGATGACTGTTAGGAGTTAGGGAGAGGCCGGAGCGTCACCATGATGATGGCCTGTTAGGAGTTAAGGGGAAGAGGCTGAGGCGTCACCATGATGATGACTGTTAGGAGTTAAGGGGAGAGGCTGAGCGTCACCATGATGATGACTGTTAGGAGTTAAGGGGAGAGGCTGAGCGTCACCATGATGATGACTGTTAGGAGTTAGGGGAGAGGCTGAGCGTCACCATGATGATGACTGTTAGGAGTTAAGGGGAGAGGCTGAGCGTCACCATGATGATGACTGTTAGGAGTTAAGGGGAGAGGCTGAGCGTCACCATGATGATGACTGTTAGGAGTTAAGGGGAGAGGCTGAGCGTCACCATGATGATGACTGTTAGGAGTTAAGGGGAGAGGCTGAGCGTCACCATGATGATGACTGTTAGGAGTTAAGGGGAGAGGCTGAGCGTCACCATGATGATGACTGTTAGGAGTTAAGGGGAGAGGCTGAGCGTCACCATGATGATGACTGTTAGGAGTTAAGGGGAGAGGCTGAGCGTCACCATGATGATGACTGTTAGGAGTTTAAGGGGAGAGGCTGAGCGTCACCATGATGATGACTGTTAGGATTAAGGGGAGAGGCTGAGCGTCACCATGACTGATGACTGTTAGGAGTTAAGGGGAGAGGCTGAGCGTCACCATGATGATGACTGTTAGGAGTTAAGGGAGAGGCTGAGCGTCACCATGATGATGACTGTAGGAGTTTAAGGGAGAGGCTGAGCGTCACCATGATGATGACTGTTAGGAGTTAGGGGAGAGGCTGAGCGTCACCATGATGATGACTGTTAGGGAGTTAAGGGGAGAGGCTGACGTCACCATGATGAGACTGTTAGGAGTTAAGGGGAGAGGCTGAGCGTCACCATGATGATGACTGTTAGGAGTTAGGGGAGAGGCTGAGCGTCACCATGATGATGACTGTTAGGAGTTAAGGGGAGAGGCTGAGCGTCACCATGATGATGACTGTTAGGAGTTAAGGGGAGAGGCTGAGCGTCACCATTGATGATGACTGTTAGGAGTTAAGGGGAGAGGCTGAGCATCACCATGATGATGACTGTTAGGAGTTAAGGGGAGAGGCTGAGCGTCACCATGATGATGACTGTTAGGAGTTAAGGGGAGAGGCTGAGCGTCACCATGATGATGACTGTTAGGAGTTAAGGGGAGAGGCTGAGCGTCACCATGATGATGACTGTTAGGAGTTAAGGGGAGAGGCTGAGCGTCACCATGATGATGACTGTTAGGAGTTAAGGGGAGAGGCTGAGCGTCACCATGATGATGACTGTTAGGAGTTAAGGGGAGAGGCTGAGCGTCACCATGATGATGACTGTTAGGAGTTAAGGGAGAGGCTGAGCGTCACCATGATGATGACTGTTAGGAGTTAAGGGGAGAGGCTGAGCGTCACCATGATGATGACTGTTAGGAGTTAAGGGGAGAGGCTGAGCGTCACCATGATGATGACTGTTAGGAGTTAAGGGGAGAGGCTGAGCGTCACCATGATGATGACTGTTAGGAGTGAAGGGAGAGGCTGAGCGTCACCATGATGATGACTGTTAGGAGTTAAGGGGAGAGGCTGAGCGTCACCATGATGATGACTGTTAGGAGTTAAGGGGAGAGGCTGAGCGTCACCATGATGATGACTGTTAGGAGTTAAGGGGAGAGGCTGAGCGTCACCATGATGATGACTGTAGGAGTTAAGGGGAGAGGCTGAGCGTCACCATGATGATGACTGTTAGGAGTTAAGGGGAGAGGCTGAGCGTCACCATGATGATGACTGTTAGGAGTTAAGGGGAGAGGCTGAGCGTCACCATGATGATGACTGTTAGGAGTTAAGGGGAGAGGCTGAGCGTCACCATGATGATGACTGTTAGGAGTTAAGGGGAGAGGCTGAGCGTCACCATGATGATGACTGTTAGGAGTTTAAGGGGAGAGGCTGAGCGTCACCATGATGATGACTGATAGGAGTTAAGGGGAGAGAGCTGAGCGTCACCATGATGATGACTGTTAGGAGTTAAGGGGAGAGGCTGAGCGTCACCATGATGATGACTGTTAGGAGTTAAGGGGAGAGGCTGAGCGTCACCATGATGATGACTGTTAGGAGTTAAGGGGAGAGGCTGAGCATCACCATGATGATGACTGTTAGGAGTTAAGGGGAGAGGCTGAGCGTCACCATGATGATGACTGTTAGGAGTTAAGGGGAGAGGCTGAGCGTCACCATGATGATGACTGTTAGGAGTTAAGGGGAGAGGCTGAGCGTCACCATGATGATGACTGTTAGGAGTTAAGGGAGAGGCTGAGCGTCACCATGATGATGACTGTTAGGAGTTAAGGGGAGAGGCTGAGCGTCACCATGATGATGACTGTTAGGAGTTAAGGGGAGAGGCTGAGCGTCACCATGATGATGACTGTTAGGAGTTAAGGGGAGAGGCTGAGCGTCACCATGATGATGACTGTTAGGAGTTAAGGGGAGAGAGGCTGAGCGTCACCATGATCGATGACTGTTAGGAGTTAAGGGGAGAGGCTGAGCGTCACCATGATGATGACTGTTAGGAGTTAAGGGAAGAGGCTGAGCGTCACCATGATGATGACTGTTAGGAGTTAAGGGGAGAGGCTGAGCGTCACCATGATGATGACTGTTAGGAGTTAAGGGGAGAGGCTGAGCGTCACCATGATGATGACTGTTAGGAGTTAAGGGGAGAGGCTGAGCGTCACCATGATGATGACTGTTAGGAGTTAAGGGGAGAGGCTGAGCGTCACCATGATGATGACTGTAGGAGTTAAGGGGAGAGGCTGAGCGTCACCATGATGATGACTGTTAGGAGTTAAGGGGAGAGGCTGAGCATCACCATGATGATGACTGTTAGGAGTTAAGGGGAGAGGCTGAGCGTCACCATGATGATGACTGTTAGGAGTTAAGGGGAGAGGCTGAGCATCACCATGATGATGACTGTTAGGAGTTAAGGGGAGAGGGCTGAGCGTCACCATGATGATGACTGTTAGGAGTTAAGGGGAGAGGCTGAGCATCACCATGACGATGACTGTTAGGAGTTAAGGGGAGAGGCTGAGCGTCTACCATGATGATGACTGTTAGGAGTTAAGGGGAGAGGCTGAGCGTCACCATGATGATGACTGTTAGGAGTTAAGGGGAGAGCTGAGCGTCACCATGACGATGACTGTTAGGAGTTAAGGGGAGCAGGTCCTGAGCAGTCACCATGATGATGACTGTTAGGAGTTAAGGGGAGAGGCTGAGCAGTCACCATGATGATGACTGTTAGGAGTTAAGGGGAGAGGCCTGAGCGTCACCATGATGATGACTGTTAGGAGTTAAGGGGGAGAGGCTGAGCGTCACCATGATGATGAATGTTAGGAGTTAAGGGAGAGGCTGAGCGTCACCATGATGATGACTGTTAGGAGTTAAGGGGAGAGGCTGAGCGTCACCATGATGATGACTGTTAGGAGTTAAGGGGAGAGGCTGAGCGTCACCATGATGATGACTGTTAGGAGTTAAGGGGAGAGGCTGAGCGTCACCATGATGATGACTGTTAGGAGTTAAGGGGAGAGCACATTATGATGACTGTTAGGAGTTAAAGGGGAGAGGCTTGATGGTGTCACCATGATGATGACTGTTAGGAGTTAAGGGGAGAGGCTGAGCGGTCACCATGATGATGACTGTTAGGAGTTAAGGGGAGAGGCTGAGCGTCACCATGATGATGACTGTTAGGAGTTAAGGGGAGAGGCTGAGCGTCACCATGATGATGACTGTAGGAGTTAAGGGGAGAGGCTGAGCGTCACCATGATGATGACTGTTAGGAGTTGGCCACAGGAGTTAAGGGGAGAGGCTGAGCGTCACCATGATGATGACTGCTAGGAGTTAAGGGGAGAGGCTGAGCGTCACCATGATGATGACTGTAGGAGTTAAGGGGAGAGGCTGAGCGTCACCATGATGATGACTGTTAGGAGTTAAGGGGAGAGGCTGATGGTCACCATGATGATGACTGTTAGGAGTTAAGGGGAGAGGCTGAGGGTCACCATGATGATGACTGCAGGAGTTAAGGGGAGAGGCTGAGCGTCACCATGATGATGACTGTTAGGAGTTAAGGGGAGAGGCTGAGCGTCACCATGATGATGACTGCAGGAGTTAAGGGGAGAGGCTGAGCGTCACCATGATGATGACTGTTAGGAGTTAAGGGGAGAGGCTGAGCGTCACCATGATGATGACTGTTAGGAGTTAAGGGGAGAGGCTGAGCGTCACCATGATGATGACTGTTAGGAGTTAAGGGGAGAGGCTGAGCGTCACCATGATGATGACTGTTAGGAGTTAAGGGGAGAGGCTGAGCGTCACCATGATGATGACTGTTAGGAGTTAAGGGGAGAGGCTGATGGTCACCATGATGATGACTGTTAGGAGTTAAGGGGAGAGGCTGATGGTCACCATGATGATGACTGTTAGGAGTTAAGGGGAGAGGCTGATGGTCACCATGATGATGACTGTTAGGAGTTAAGGGGAGAGGCTGAGGGTCACCATGATGATGACTGTTAGGAGTTAAGGGGAGAGGCTGAGCATCACCATGATGATGACTGTTAGGAGTTAAGGGGAGAGGCTGAGCGTCACCATGAAATGTGCAAATTGACATAAAAATGAATAAAAGGGGAAAAATGCTCCATGTTTTTTAGGCTGTAAACTTGAACTGTTATGTAAGCCAACTAGACAGACAGTGTGTCACTCTTCCTCCTGTACATTAGCAGATAAAAGGCATCACATACTTGAATGAATGGTAAATAAAGAATACTGGAAATAACTGCATCTCCATTAGCCTGTATGCTCTGCAGAGACTGCCTTCTTCATGTCGTGAATTGCAGCTGATGTTTTAATATGGCAATTGGCAATTTGACTTATACAACATTCGCAAGTTGTTCATTTGACTCATACAATAACCCACCTTCGAGTGATGCTCTAGTTTCTTCATGTTTTGTTTTTTGCTCCGGACTGAAACTGTCTTTTCACCGACATCTCTTCACCTGCACTAGTGGCCGTATCAAAGCCGTGATTGGTCAGATATCGATACATTACAACGGTGTCGGGTTACAGACATGCTCCCCTTGTCATCTCTCACTCTCACTCTCGCGGGGGGTGCGCAGAGAACTGAGCGGAGAACTGCGCACAGCAGCTGAGGCCCTCTGGGCGGGGCCCCCTGCGCAAGGCGGGGCCCCATGCAGCCTGCGTGATTGGCCTGTAGGGAGGGGCGGCCCTGGTCCCAGGGAGGCAACCTGGTGTCTCTCCACAGCACAGAGGAAGAGGACTTTGTCCAATTCCTGGTCGAAAGCTCTGACCCTGCTGAGGGAGCAACATGGATCGGACTCCATGACATGGCCAAAGAAAGAAGATGGATGTGGTCTGATGGGTATGATTGGTATAGAGGAGAACCCAACAACAGACGAGGTGAAGACTGTGTTCACAACAACTGGAGGGGGAAGTGGAACGATGCGCCTTGTTCAGATACTCTCCCCTCAGTTTGTGCATCTCGCACAACTTGTCCTTAAACTGAGATGTTACGTGTTCACCTGTTCTGTTAACTTGAAACAATAAAGACACAGATGTAAACTTGTATATGTGTGTGAACAGAAGTCCTTTTGTCTAACCTTTATTCTCATGAATGTTACATCTCCACACTGCTCGCTCCAGGGGTTAATCAGAGGAGTTATTTCTACACCTTTTCAAATACATTTAGTAAATAATATTGATGACTTATTACATTTTGATCCACAGCTTTGAGCCGTTGCTTATTATTCCTGGTGTTCTACTTATTTGTTTGAACACAGCTGTATATCATTCAATGATCACATGATGTGGTCAGGTATGTGCGGCACCTGGTGTGTGGATGACCAACGGGCTGAACCTGCTCTTTCCTGATTTAGAACATAACATTTCCCAAATTGGGATTAATAAAGTAAATTTCATCTTATAAATAAAAACCATATATATATATGCACCTGCATTGACACACCCGTTCACAACCTTTAACCTGGTGAGATGTAATGCAGCTTCCTGACCAGCAGGGGGCAGAAATAAACCAATCATAATGAACGCATGTTGACTTTAATTGATTTGATGTCTTGTGGATTTTTAACAGCTATTTAAAAAATGAAATCTGTGGCTTCACACATTACAATCAGTGCTTCTCAAAGTGTGGTCCGCAGACCACTGGTGGTCCGTGAGCGCCCCCTAGTGGTCCGTGAGTATATTGGTAACATTTCACATTTGAAATAAATAAAAACATTTATGTTTTCCGCACTCTTACGGGAATATCTCCGCAATGGAGCGAGGTTAAGTTTCATAGCCCAGCGCCACACCTTCGTCACACATGTTGCCACTTGTTTGTACCATTTTCAGGCGATTTGTAATCTGTTCTAGAAAAACGATGTGTTTTTTGATATTTGTGGAGTTAGTTAGTCCGCGAGTGTTTTTTTATTGGTTGAGTGTCCTTGGTATGAAAACGTTTGAGAAACACTGCATTACATCAATAAGAGTATTAATACTTTTACTTATAAATATATATATACTTCTTCAGCTGGTGGAAAACACAAAGAAAGAGATGGGTTTTTTTTGGAAATGAAACTTTATCGAACAATCTGACAAACACTCACTCGAAGCATAAAAAAGTGAAATCTAACAACGCCGAGAACTCCTTATAAAAAACACAAACAGAAACGTCTCTGCAGGAATCACTGACGAACCATTTAGATTTAATGATCATCATTTAAACCTCAGTAAACCTGCCAGAGGTGTGTGTGTGTGTGTGTGTGTGTGTGTGTGTGTGTGTGTGTGTGTGTGTGTATGTGTGTGTGTGTCAGTGGGCGACAGAGTTGAGTGGCTCTGCTCGGATGTTTCCTAAATCCAGCGAAGAGTCCGTGTCCTCGTCGATTTCCCCGATCACCGCCCTGCAGCACAAACACACTTTATTATTATTATACATTAAATATAGAAACTACAGAATAAAGCTGCCATTATAATAAATAAATAAATGAAGGAAAATAAATAAATAAACATAAATAGAAAATGTTTTATTTTAAAGGTCACCTATCCTGCTGTGTTTAGTAGAGATGTTAAGATTCACCGATTCGCATCGGTGCACCGGCATAAACGTTCAAGATGCGAGTGCACCGGTTGAAAGAGTGCACATCGGCTACAGTTTGGGTTGAACCGGGTTGAACTCGCGATGCATCGATTGCGTAGCGTCTTTGCATCGGTAAAAAACCGATTCATTCATATAAAATCCCCTCATCTTGTCAACGCTCAGCAGATACGATCTTTGATATCTTCGCCACTACGGAGGCCGAGAGTCTCAGCTATCAACACACACGGAAGTCGAGGAGAAAGAGAAACACAGCGCACCGAAAAATACCTACAAATCAAACGTTTGGCAACACTTCGGATTGTTCAAGAAAGACGGTGTAATAGTCCTTTATGCTATATAGTTGACCGCAGGTCATGGAGAGTAATAAGGTATCCGTAGACCTTTGTATGAGGTATCTTTATTACTTAACAGGTCTACAGCCATGATACATAGATCCGTCCTAGATGCGGGCTTGCATACACACAGTATCACTCCGCAGCCGCACCCCATCAGTAACGTCCTGATGGTATATGTGCGCGGCACTATATACTACAGACGGTCAACTTGAAAAATCGCTCGCAAATTGTTAACGATGCCGAGCCGATTTAAAGTACACAAGTAGTACGAGGAACTTAGCGACGCACATAAAGAGGCGACATGGGGTCTGCGGCTGAAAAGAGAAACCTGAAAGTTAGACATATGAGTTAAATCACTCAGTGAGGTGTTCTGTCAGAGAGAGTGGTGTTTAGTTTACAGCAGCCTGTGACGGCCAATAATAATTTAAATGTCTTCCTTACTGTAAGCAGTTATGAAATACCTGTTTGTGAAAGGTTATTTGTATTATTTATTGTTCATATAGAACCCAATGCTTTCTGCTCACTGGTGAGTTAGCCTATGGATGAGTGTTAAGCACATCAGGCTGGCAGCTGTATGGGCATTGCACAATGGTAGCTGTTATTTGCACATTGTTAATCATGAGCAATGCATCCTTACATTGTTTAACTGTGAGGTGTTATACAATTGTACTGTAGCCTACTCTGGAGAGCTTTTAAAGGTAAAAAAATAAACGGCATGATGGGATGTGCAGTACCAAATATGTAAAGCACTTTTTTGTTAATGTATGATTTGCTGTATATAAGGAATAAAACAAAAATCCTCTGTCGTTCCAAATTGAAGTATCATTATTTTTGCATCGTGTTGAATCGCATCGTATCGCACTGTATCGCAACAGGGGTGAATCGTATCGTATCGCATCGCCTGGTGTTTCAAATGTATCGTTAATGTATCGTATCGTGGCAACGTATCGAGATGCGCATCGCATCGGCCTCAGTGATGGAGATGCACATCCCTAGTGTTTAGGCAACAGCACAGGTCTCAGATAAATACAAATATATAAAAACATGTCTTTGAAGTGTTTTGCTCCAAACACCAAACAGATCATTCTAGCCATGCCTCATGTCCCTCTATTCCACTTCCTGTTTCTAAAGTGCTGTTTGGGTATAAAGCTTTAAAGAGGAGGGGTCTGAGCTCATGCGGGACCCGGCAGCTACTGTCTAAACTAAATGCTGCCGTGATGAAACAGTCTGGAGCTCAAAGGCTTTCTCTCTTGCCGGTTATACCACAAGGTGAGTTCCTTTTTACTTCCTGCTTCTTCACACACATGCTCTCCAGTACAGGTTAGCTCTGAGTGTTAGCGATGCTAATGTAAACACCGACCATATTACGTCCAAAACAGTCGGGCATTGTTTCTGATAGCAACGTTTCTGATTGGGCCGTGGGTCCACATTTCAGATATTACGTCATATCGGACGCAAATCTGGATCAGCTCCGTTGTTCCCCGTTTTTAGAGATTTGGGTACGGAGGAAAAGAGAGAGGGTTTTATTTCCTGACGCTGCGTGAGTTCCCCGACACACCGGGGACACACCGGGGACACATTGATGTAGAGAAGACATCAACAAGTGCATTTTGCACGATAGGTCCCTATCTTTATTTTAAATAAATAAATAAGGAAATTAATTAAAGCCAAAATAAATGTAAAGAATATTTTGGGGTATTAATACATTAGATTGCATATATAGTTCATATAGGAGTACAAATATACATATAATATGATGTTGATTGGTCGATATATGAGATGTATTCGCTGACAGCGGGTTTTTGGTCAGAAATCTAACTTTTTTAAAGCTGCTTCTTCATTTTTTTTTAACCGTGGTTGTTTTCCCTTTACGCTTCAATAAAGATTTACTGCGTCTCAAACACACTTTCTATTCTCCCCAGGATGTCGTTTATCTCGAGCCGTGAAGCTACTATAGTGAACTTCTCACAGAAAGACAGACAGACAGACAGACAGACAGACAGACAGTCAGACAGACAGACAGACAGACAAGACAGACAGACAGACAGACAGACAGACAGACAGACAGACAGACAGACAGACAGACAGACAGACAGACAGACAGACAGACAGACAGACAGACAGACAGACAGACAGACAGACAGACAGACAGACAGACAGACAGACAGACAGACAGACAGACAGACAGACAGACAGACAGACAGACAGACAGACAGACAGACAGACAGACAGACAGACACACAGACAGACAGACAGACAGACAGACAGACAGACAGACAGACAGACAGACAGACAGACAGACAGACAGACAGACAGACAGACAGACAGACAGACAGACAGACAGACAGACAGACAGACAGACAGACAGACAGACAGACAGACAGACAGACAGACAGACAGACAGACAGACAGACACACAGACAGACAGACAGATAGATAAACGCCATTTCTACACTGTAGCTTTGTGCATATGACAGTAAAACCTTTGAATCTTGAATCTGGCCCTTTGGAGATGGAGTAAAGCAGATACGATGGATTCATATTAAAGTGTGTATGAAAGGAGACTCACACGTTGTCCCCCCTCACGATGTAGAGGCCCAGCACCACCTGCTCCACGCCCTGACTCGAGCTGAACACTCGCTCGTGGCTCTCGTCCAGAATCAGGTTGATGGTCTGATCGAAGCCCTTCAGAGTGCCCTGAACACACACACAAAATAACACAAGCACACACACATTAACACATAAGTACACACACACAAACATTAACACACAAAATAACACATAAGCTCACACACACAAAATAACACATGAGCACCAGGGATGCTCCGATCGCCAATTTCGGGGCCGATCGCCGGAATCAGTATCGGCCGATACCGATCGCCGATCCGATCGAGTGGGCGGGGCCTAAATGGAAGATTTAAACATCACTTTAAATCTTCCATTGAAAGTGATGTTTAAAACTCAGTTAATGCTCATTCTCTGGAGCTTCCACAAACAACAACCAACTTAATTATTACATTCAAATGATGTACTTTATTCAAGTTTACATTCACTTTGGAGAATAACACGGGAGAGATGAGCGGAAGCGCTCTCTTTTCCTCTCTCCCTCCCTCTCTCTCCTGACAGCCTGTCAGTATCTCAGCTCACTGATCCAGTAATGAGTGACCCGACAATGAAGAATACATATATTTATAATAACTAGTTTAGCTTGTTCCAGAGGTATCAAATAGCTAAGTGTGTTAGGTCTAACTCTTACGGGACGTCCACACAGCAGCTTTGAACAAATCTTGAAAATCTTGGAGCTGGGCGTGTCTGAAAGCTTGGGGATGTTTTGCGAGCAACGCGACCAACAACCAATCACATGAATCTCCCGCCCCCGACATACAAAGCAAAAAACCCCGGGGTTTTTATGCGAGCAATATATATAATATATAATATATATATATATATATAAACTCCCCAAACAGGCGAAAACTTAACAGTTTCCCCCACTGTCTCTTCCACCTCCCTCCATGCCTGGTTCCTCCGGGTTGTATCCCGTTAATAGTTCTGGTCGTAAAGAACCGGGTGATTTGTTACCGTAATTTCTCGTTTGGAATATGAGGAACTGAACTGCGGTCTGGTTCTCCCTGTGTGTGTGTTTCGCTCCGCTCACCGGTCCGGCGGGCGGAGCTGCAGGATTTCTGCTTCACGTTGCATTCCGCTATTTTACTGTCTTTTTCGGACACCTTAAAATACTGCCAGAGCGGTGAAGCCATGTTGGCGAGCTTGTTTTGCCGCGCACAGAGAAGAGTGTCATGTATTTTACGTCATGCGATCGGCTCTCGCGATCGGCATGTTTAGAGAGCACCGATCGATCGGTAGAGAGTGAGTATCGGCCGATATCGATCGGAGCATCCCTAATGAGCACACACACACAAAATAAAACATGAGCACACACACATTAACACACACACAAAATAACACATAAGCACACACACATTAACACATCAATCAACAACGTTATGAATGGGCATAACACAGGCAGGAACAGACCGAGGACATTCAGCGATGCATGTGATCATAATGAAAAAGCTGGAAAGGTTTTACTGAAACATTTGAACATTTAAATAAAACAATGATGTGAAAATGGTTAAATAATGATTTACAATGAATGCAAACAAATATCTGATAAAAGCTCCTTTTCCCCCAAAAAAATATCAGATACAAAAAAAATATGTACAATTAATATTTGTACAATTGCCTGAAAACAATTGTAAAAATATTTTTTTACTTTTCCCTAAAACATTTTGAGATTGTCCGAAGCATTTATTAAAATGCTCCAAGAAATGTTTAAGAAGATATCTAAAATGTGTGGAAAGCAATCTGTGAAAATGTTCATGCACTTTTTCACCAATGATTTTCCATGACTTCTCCAGGACCTTTACCTAATTTTCCATGACTTCTCCAGGACCTTACAGTTTCTACCCCTGGGCCGTCAGGCTGCTCAACCACCACACATAATGCAATAACTGTAACCATTCTCACACATACACACTTTTAATGCACTTTATATACTATTTTTATATCAATATTTTAACTATTTATTCCCCGTATGATTCTATGTTGTCTGTCCTATTGCCGTGTTTTTTAATGTTATGTATTTGTTTGTATTTTTTGCACACCGGGACAGAGTTGCACTCTGAATCTCGTTATACTCTGTGTATAATGACAATAAAAGGCTTTAACTTAACTTACCTAATTTTCCATGACTTCTCCAGGACCTTTACCTAATTTTCCATGACCAAAACACTGACTCTTTCTCAGGTACCACTGAAAATGGTTTATTTGAACATGGAACAGGAAAATAAGGTCTGCACATGAAACATGTTGTGCCTATCTAACAAATCAAGTAGGCTTACTAGCTCCTACAGTCTAAAGCAACTCAAATCTCTCACCAGCAAAATACCTCGACAGTTAAATGCCACTTTACGTTTCATTACTATACGATACAGTATTTATTATCATTATAGTATCACTATTTTGGCGATTAGCTAAAATATAAATTATATTTGATGCAACTTTAGTTACATTTCCATGACTTTTCCAGGGCCTGGAATTAGCATTTTGCTTTTCCAGGTTTTTAATGACCGTAAGAACCCTGACTGACAGAGAACATTATACTGCACATTCAATATATTTACTTAACTACGGTATTGAATGCAGGACTTGTACTTGTTGTGGAGTTGTATCACAGTGTGGTATAAGTACTCTTACTGCAGTAATGTACCTGAACCTCAGGTGTGTTTGTGTGTTTGAACTCACCACGATCATCCTGCCGTCTGACGTCACGATGGCCACAGTTCCTGATCTCAGAGTTAAAGAAACATTTTCTGCACAAAATACAGGATTTTTTCTTATTTTGAAATCGATGTAAAGAACAATCGATTAACCAAATGACTAGTGTTTGTGCTAAGGCTTTACGGTGCTGTTTATTTATACATCTGCTCTAGTTGCCCATGTACATGTACACAGATACAGGGCTAACATTGTGTAAAATGTCATATTTCTAAATGAACATAACCATTTATTGCAGGAAGACCCGAAAAAACATACAAATGTGAACTTATTGTTTTACAAACTCAGGTAAAACACTGAAATTAACATTATTAAATTAAAGAAAATGAACCCTAATACATGACTAACTTTACACAGCATCTCTTCTCTGATAAACAGAGACACTACGTCACTTTCTCTACCTGAATGTACTTCTGTTTTAAATGATAACTAACTTTTCTTCGTCTCTAAACTTTGCTGAAACAACGTAAATAAAGGAACTCTGATTCTGGTTCATAAACAAGAGAACTCCTAGCATGGATGCTAAGCTAACTAGCATGCTCTCATTCATTCAGACGGCAGCATGTTAGCATCAGGATACGGTTGATGTAGCTCTCCAGGGCCGTGGACATGTTCCTGCTCTCCGGGTTATTTATTCAGCAGCAGAGAGGTGGTCGGTTTGTATTTACACCGGTTAACGGTGAAACGTAGCAGGAACGTAACGGAGAAAAACAGAAGCTAACGGGAGCTAACGGAGAACAGACCGAGTTAATCCAGCGCAGAGTCAACGAGCAGAGAGGAGAGCGGAGCGACAAACGGGGAACGTCACTTCCGGTTAACACTTCTACACTTTGAAAAGACCCAAAATAGATATTATATACATTCAGAATAAAACGGTATGTTTTCAAAATTCGGAGAAAAGTCAGAATTGTGAGATTTACACAAAATAAAAAATAATTATTTGAAATATTTCTTATTTTTTTCTAGAAACAAATATGGATTTTTTTTAACAAAACTTCGATAAATGTTTCCACACTCTGAAAGGACTTACAGGAAACACATACACACTGTATTGGTAAAGGCAATACATAGGTAAAGAAGAGGATTCGAGCCACATGAGTAACATGTTTTCAGATGTGACCAAAATAAATAAATGGGTTCCGACTTAAAGGTCAATGTCATGGCCATTTCTACTGATCATAATTCCATTGATGAGGTCTACTAGAATAGATTTATATTGTGCAATTTTCCAAAATCTCATTAGTTTCTCATACAGCATCTCTGTATATTATGTGTATTCACTCTCTGTCCTAAACGGCTTGCTGGAGCTCACTGTGCTCTGATGAGTCTACCAAGTCCACCACCGGTACAGCGGAACATCAGTGATTATGTGTTACAATGGCGTTTGTTAGCAACCAGAAAATGACACCAGTAATGACAACCCCCCCCCCCCCGCACCCCCAAATACGGCGAGTGTGTGTGTGTGTGTGAGGAGCTCCACGGATTGGTCCATTTGGGTCCAATGGGTCCATTTGGGTATCGTTACGTCACTATACCCAGGACGAAAAAAATGGAAAAAGATAAATGTCCAACGAGGCGTTCTGGGGCAGCACAGACAGGTATTTTCTGTGTTAGAGTTTTACTCGCTACAGGGTGTACTTTGAGGGTTTATGACTCTGCAGACCGTTTACATGCAGAACAACCTACATAACACAAGGGGACGGGTGATAACCAGAAAAGCATGACATGGGAGCTTTAATCCACAAAAAACACACTGGACGCTGCACTAGGTCAGAAACCAGAGGAGACTGTGAAGTCCACCGCAGACGGACAACTTTTGGACAAAATGTCCTCTCAAAAAAGGCAGCTCATTGTGGAACAGCCTCCCAAATGAGACACGGGATTGCCCCACTCTCAATAGCTTCAAAGGTCAACTCAAAGAATGGTTGAGAAACAAACAGACATGCGATCACCGCTAAATGCACTTTAACACAGGGGTATCTTCCCTTGCACTTTATATGTCGTTGCTGCTATATTGTATTACCATGTCATAAATACTTGTGTATGCTGCTCTTGCTCTTTTTGTATATCATGTATTTGCTATGTTTGTAAAATGTAATCTTCTTAAATGTTTTTAAATGTGAGGGACTGTGGATGGAAATGAGCTCAAAGCTAAATCTGGCACTGTTACGCTTGATACATTTTAATGTTTTAAGTGTTCATTACTGTCCCTGCCAAATAAACGATTAAAGAAAGAAAGAAAGACACATTTTCTCTCAGAGAAAGAAGATCCTTCAGAAAACTGAGATTTAGAACAAGTCTGAAAAGATTCATTCTGAGATAATCATTTTTTCAGAAAAATGATTATTTAAATCTGAACAAATAGTTTTGTCGTTCAGCAATACTCCCCTTTTTACTCTCATTAAGATACCGTGTTGTTGTGCGCATGGCATTACGGTGCATTTCCCAATAAAAGGACAACATAAATAAACTGAACGTTGTTAATTTAAAATAAAGAAACATGGAGTCGGGGTCCCAGCAGGTCTTCATCTTTATTGTTGCTCAGTAGTCGTCCATACAAAGGGGGGTGGAGAGAGCAGTGGAGCCCGACGGGACAAACACCAGGAACGTCATGCTACCAAAGTATTAAATTTGTACAAAAATACTTTACAACATCCCTGTTCCTTTAAAGAAAAATACAGTTCGGTAGGTTGGTGAAGCTACATGGAAACTAATCTGACCCACAAGTTTTAAATGGCAGTGCAATGCATGTGTGTGTGCCTGTATGTGTGTGGGTGGATGTCTTGCTGAGGTGAATCACTAGAGTGCAAATCCCTGCAATGTAATATACACACACACTTTCACACAGTTTATACATGCGCACAAACACAGTGTTTATGGCTTTACATCTCACTCATCAAACCCTCCAGAAGCCCCTCAGCTCTGTAGCTTCATGTATAAAATAATTACCATTATTATTATATAATTATCTCTTTACATTTATTTCAGTTTTTTAAATTCAGATGTAGTCTTCCATACTAAAATGCTAACCGTGCTAATCACCTGGAAAGGCTGAATACCAACAGGAGTTTTGTGTAGTGTAAACCATACAATTGTCAATGCTAACAATATGCTAACTAAAACCTAGCTGTGTTAGCCCTGTGCTAGCTAATAGCTGTAGCCCTGTGTTAGCTGTTAGCTAAACCAATTAGTCCTGTGTTAGCCTTGTTCTGGGTGCTAACATCTAGCTATGTGATCTAAGTGTTAGCTAACAATAAGAGTTGTTTTCTATGCCGTAGCTAAGTCTTGTCTCCTGTGCTAGCTACATACTAGGCATATTAGCTCTGTGCTAACCTTTTATTAGCTATGTTTATGTGTGTTAGCCTTGTTTTATGTGCACTAAGTAGGTGCGTTATCCAGTTGATAGCCTTAGCGACCTAGCAATGTTAGGCTGATGATTACCCTGCTTTAGCTGCATGCTTAACAAATATTAGCCAAATTCTTACACCTAATTATGCTACTCAGATGTTAGCCCTGTATTAGACTTTTGCTATGAGTGGCTGAACATACACTGGGTTTATTAGCCATGAGCTAACATTTAGGTATGATGGCTAGATGGCGTTAGCCCTTTAAAGTTAGCTTTGTGCTAACCATATGTATTTATTTGATTGCAATGCTAGTGTGCTGTGTGTGCTAACCCTTTAGCAGCCACGTGTTAGGCTAATGGTAGCGCTCTGCTCGGTGTTAGCCACATGCTAACGATACGCTGTGCATCCGATTCAAAAGTTGGCAAAGTTTGGGATGGAGACAAACAGCCAATCACAGCTCTCCGTTTTGTCACACAGGACTTTGGAGAACTGACCAATTTAATAATAAAGGAAGAAAGGTGGAAATAAAAGCCTTATAATCAAATAAATGTGCATTTGAAATTAAATATATATGCACAGAAAAACAAGTATCATGTATTTATCTTTTAGACAAATTACTTATTTTCTAATTATACTTTTCATATATAATTATTCATATATTTTTTTATTTATATACTTATTTACATTTTGTATTGCCCTTTATATTTAATTTATCTATCTATTTATTTAGTCATATATTTAATTAAAATGGCAGCTTTAAGCCTCCAGAGTGTGATTGGTTGTTGAAGCTCGGCGAGGGTTTCTATTGGCGGTTGGTGCTGAGGGAGGGTTCTGATTGGCCAGTTTTCTATAGTTAGGAAAGAGGTGAGAGCAGGAAGATGTTGACATCATTCGAAAATAAACACACACACACACACACACACACACACACACACACACACACACACACACACACACACACACACACACACACACACACACACACACACACACACACACACACACACACACACACACACACACACACACACAGGTATTTACCGTCACATATTTCCTGTTTCTTCAGGATATTTTTTCTTGTGTAACGTCGTTGTTTTCGTGGATATGAGGTGAAGGTTTTTCGGGGGTTTGGATGGTCTCGATGTGAACAGCAACGGCGACTGAACCCATATTTTAAATCTATTTTACATCTTTTCAGGTTCAGTCGCCAAGGAAACAAACAAACAGAGAAAACTGACAACAGTCAATCAAAAAACACACCGATCAATTAGCATAATAGATCACTGTTACTGGGGAGAGGGTGGGGGGAGTCAGGGAGGGGGCATGCTTGGCTTCTTCCTGGTAGCTGATTGGTCCACTTGTGTGTAGAACCAATCACAGACAGACAGCGAGGTTTTTCTGATTGGTTCCAGCCAATCAGCTGAATCCCTCAGAATCTGTCTGTCGTCCCGGATGCCTATTGGTCGAGGGAAGAAGAGGGAGGGCTGGGCTTAACTGGCCTTGTGTTTAACACACACACACACACACACACACACACGTATGACATACAAACACACACACACACATACATACACACAGTGTGGCCAGTCCAACAGGTGTAAACAGTAGAAAAGGTTTCTTATTAATCTGCTCAGTGTCATTATTCAGGATTATTATTATTACTGTCTGCAGCTCATGGCACAGAACTAAAATCTTAAGTGTCTTTCTGTACATTTCATCAGGGCCGCCCCGATATAAAACACCTGATCATTACTGACTGGATTCTAGTCTTGAAATAGAATAATAATAATAAAAAACATTGAAGTGTGCTATCATTATCTGTTTGACCACTAGGGCTTTTTTAAATACGTCCATAATTAAGGCAAAAAACATGATTGAGTCTTAATTTGGCCAAAATCAATATCGTATCAAGGTCCATGAGGTACTAAAGCTGCCGTTGCAATAAATAATTGGACGACATAATACATTTACTTATTTCCCCGTTCCTTTATAATTTAATTTATTTAATAATTAAGACATTATTATGATGGCAGCTTCAGTCCTTTCATATTTTCATGTTTACCTTTTTTTGAAAACCTAAGGAATGTAGGGACTTTTTTGTCAATATTACTTAAGGACTGAATGGTGCTATATCGGTGTGGCATGCTAAAAGCTAATGGGTATTTTTAGAGGTTTTTTTTCCTATTAGAACAAACTGAACTACACCTAAACCCACCTAACACCATCCAAGTCCTTAGTCCTTATCTTTAAACCAACATTTTCAATATTATACTTGCATTTGACCATTTTCAGACTTGTATTTAACCATCACTAGTTTTAATTGTGCACCTAAACCCAACACACTGAGCCAAATATAGATATGTATATCTATAACGTTGACATAAATGAACCTTTAAGACCAGAAACCAGTCAGTAATCAGTATGGTTTGGATTATCCCAATGACATGGCTCTAGATCGGAGCGTCTCTCGTCTACATGGCAACCCGTGTGTCCATCAGCAGGTTCTGGTTCCCATCAGTCTTTGTGCTGCTGTGGTCCTTGGCCAGTACAACCATTAGAGCCATGGTTCTGATTCTAGTAAGACCAGATGGCCCAGAAGACCCAGTTCTTGACTTGTAAACACAGTAGTCATGGATCTTGCTTGGTGGTACACATGATTCTTTGACTATAAAAACCATGTCTTGGACCAGTTGTACCAGTACTCGTGATGCTTTCACCACTCAGACCAGAACCTGAGTCTTCTAGACCAAAAAGACCAATCAATTTGGCTTCAGATTGGTTTTGTTCCCACTTATGCCGAGTTCAAACCAATTGCCTTCCCATTTTTTGCCAGTTTACCCAAAGTTCATCAGCTCTGCATTTGGTGTGAACTCACCATAAGACCAGAGCCGATGTGTCTTGGCCAGTAGGACCATTAATTGGCTGTGGCTCTGGCTTCAGTTGGACCAGTAACCATTAATCTAAAACCAGTAAAACTATTGGCTTTAGAAGAATCAGTATCCATGACTCGAGTACCCATTAATGTCGGACCAGTCAGACCATTAGCTCTCTCATAGTGGTTCCAGTAGGATCAGTAGTTATAGTTCTGGCTCCAGTGACTCCAGTAATAAAGAACAGTATGCAGAACTGGTTCTTGTGAAAAGGTGAGGAGTTGCTCCGGTCCATCAGTGTGCTTTCAGGCTGCCTCAACAGTTCAAAGGTCATCCAGAGGGTGTTTGCAGCACCATAGGGTACTCTAAACCAGTTTGGACGGGTAAAAACCAGTCATTTTGCTGTTTGGTTGACCTCTCCAGTCCAATCTGGTTAATTTAATCCATTGTTTGTCTGCTATACGGAATTATTATTGACCTGACCCATCCCAAGCTCCGCCACCAACATGTCCCCCGGTTGGCTCCACTTGATTGGACCGCCGTCCTCCAACTGGCCAATGGAGAGCTCCAAAGGTCCGAGGTCGCTGCCGATTGGCTGAGGGGAGTGGCCGCTGTTGTAGATGCCGTCAGTGTGATTGGTCAACAGCGTGGTGGACGAGGAAGTCGGGTTTCGGCTGATGACGAGCTCCAGATGGTTCGGAGACTCGGCGATCAGAGGAACCACGAGGCAGCAGTCGAAGTCCCGAGTCCGAACGTGGTTAATCTGGAAAACATAGAAAGGTTCAGAACGTCTCACACATGTTAAGGGGTGTTGGGAAAGTTCTGAATGTCCTCTTCCAACATGAGAGCAACGTGATAACAAAGGTATCCCAACTGTAGCTGTGAACATGACAGGATGTGTGATTACCGAGAAGAGCATCAGGAAACAGTCAGATTTTTGAGAAAAAGTCAGAATTTTGAGAAAAAGTCAGGATTTTTGAGAAAAAATCAGAATTTTGAGAAAAAAATCAGGATTATGAGAACAATTCAGGATTTTTGAGAAAAAGTCAGGATTTTTGAGAAAAAGTCAGGATTTTTGAGAAAAAGTCAGGATTTTGAGAAAAAGTCAGGATTTTTGAGAAAAAGTCAGGATTTTGAGAAAAAGTCAGGATTTTGAGAAAAAGTCAGGATTTTGAGAAAAAGTCAGGATTATGACATTTTTGAGAAAAATTCTGATTTTTGAAAACAATTCAGGATTTTTGAGAAAAAGTCAGGATTTTGAGGAAAAGTCAGGATTTTTAGAAAAAGTCAGGATTTTTAGAAAAAGACAGAATTTTTAGAAAAAACAAACAAATTCTCTCTTTTTGTTTTGACTACTTCCATTCTTGAGAGGATCATAAATACATGGATCCTGAGATTGAAGGGGTGTTATAGATCCTTTTTGCATTGTCTTTGTACCTGTAGTATCCGATCGTAAGCTCGGAGGCCGCCGCCCTCTGCTGGTCCTCCCGGTCGGATGTTGTTCACGTAGACGCCGCGGTCCAACATGCCGTCAGAAACACTGAACCCAAAATCTTCCAGATCTGTGGCTTTTTCTAGAGTCAGCTGTAAACAGAAAACACAAACTCTGTTTCTCACGGCGAGTAGATTGATGTCCAGACACTTTGTGATCCCAGAGCCCAGCTGAGGGTTCTCTGGTGTACCAAATGGATAACGAGTGTCCGAGCGAGGACTTCTGCCTTCCTAAACCAGTCAATGTCGAGTTGGGACCAAGTTAATGTTTAACGAGTCACAAGTTGGACTTTAAGTTACTAGTCCTTAATAAGTCATACTCTACTCTTTCTTTGCAAACTACAATTAGTTGTTTTGTCATTTTAATGCTCTTTTCTTATAGTATATAAGAATCAGAAGAATTACATGTACGTAATCATGGTTCTCCTTGGTTCTCTCGAGCAACTGGATTGGACACCCAACAAAGTCGATCTTGGGAATAAAGGCTTGGCTTGCTGGGAATGAATGGCCTGAACATTGGGGTATTCAGGAAATGAATGACATTGTGACAAACTTTTAAATAACATGCTTTTAACCTTTGGGTTTGGGGATTGGTTTCTCAAGTCAAAAGGCTCAAGTCCAAGTGAAGTCGCAAGTTGGTGTCATTTTTGGTAAATTCAAATCTAAATTCATGAAATGTGTGATTGAGTCTGACTCTAGTTCATACCACTGGTTTACAGTCTGATTAGCAACTTGGTAGGCAACAATAGAATCGTTTTTAAAGACAGAAACACCTACAACTAAATTGTTCTTTTCTTAACTGTAAATACATTTTTTTAAATAATAAAACGCCATTTTGGTCAACCTGTAGCCTAGGGGTTTTAGATTCCAGTTCGGAGGATGCGTCTGTCTCTTTCGCTCTAAACACGAACAATATACCATGCCAAACCCAATTGGTCAAGACTACTTGGACAATAAACGGACACCAGAATGCTTCCTTTACAAACATATTGATATTTGTTTATAGAGATAAGTTGCTTTGCTCAAAGGTTCAATCGTCACCTTGTGGAGCTCCACAGGGTTTTGGTTTAGGATCTCGTTGACTTCCTGCCTCATCTTCCTCATGGCGAAGGCTCGGCGCGTGGGGTCAGAGGGCAAGGTGTTGGACCGAGAGTTTACCTGAGAAAAGATACAGAAATAAATACCTAAAAGAACTTTAAATATATGATGTAAATGTAAGAGTTAGCGGGAGTTCAGAGGTCGGTTCTGGTTACCGATGGCTTGGAGTTGCTTCGCTCCTGGAAGCTGGCCTGGCGTCCCAGAGTGCTGCGTAGAGGGGTCGGGTCGTGGTTCAGACTGAGCGTGGAACCGGACATGATGGTAGCCTGGGAATAATCAATAAACAATAACAATCACAAGACAGTCATTCGAAGACAGTCCGTTGGATCCATGAAGGAAAAGAGTCCGAACTGTGTCCAAAGATGCCGGGACAGAACAGGTCTTTAATGGTGTTTCTATTTCTAAGATATACCATTGTTTCTGAATACAGGATCTACTGGATCAGTACTGGTTTGGACAAAGACGATCTATCTACTGACATGATCTAAAGATACAGTAGGAGCTACTCTTGGTTGATATTGAGATTAATTTAAGGACGTACTGACCTAAAGTACAGGACAACAAACACAAACTATTGTACTTTACAACGATATACTAGAGAATCAAGAAACTACTCTTATGGAGTGGTGCAGGGATTACCTATTTTCTTAGTTAGCATCAAAATAACTCCCTCCACAAAAAGCAAATGGGATTTTACAGTTTTGTTTAGTGGGATAATCTCGGCATATTAACATCACCGCTAAGCTAAAGGTGGCTAATGTTGGGCTATAAAGGAACTACAGCACGGTCACATGACTTCACGTCACCACCGCTAAGCTAAAGGAGGCTAATGTTGGGCTATAAAGGAACTACAGCACGGTCACATGACTTCACGTCACCACCGCTAAGCTAAAGGCGGCTAATGTTGGGCTATAAAGGAACTACAGCACGGTCACATGACTTCACGTCACCACAGCTAAGCTAAAGGAGGCTAATGTTGGGCTATAAAGGAACTACAGCACGGTCACATGACTTCACGTCACCACCGCTAAGCTAAAGGCGGCTAATGTTGGGCTATAAAGGAACTACAGCACGGTCACATGACTTCACGTCACCACCGCTAAGCTAAAGGTGGCTAATGTTGGGCTATAAAGGAACTACAGCACGGTCACATGACTTCACGTCACCACAGCTAAGCTAAAGGAGGCTAATGTTGGGCTATAAAGGAACTACAGCACGGTCACATGACTTCACGTCACCACCGCTAAGCTAAAGGCGGCTAATGTTGGGCTATAAAGGAACTACAGCACGGTCACATGACTTCACGTCACCACCGCTAAGCTAAAGGTGGCTAATGTTGGGCTATAAAGGAACTACAGCACGGTAACATGACTTCACGTCACCACCGCTAAGCTAAAGGTGGCTAATGTTGGGCTATAAAGGAACTACAGCACGGTCACATGACTTCATGTCACCACCGCTAAGCTAAAGGTGGCTAATGTTGGGCTATAAAGGAACTAAAGCATGGTCACATGACTTCACGTCACCACCGCTATGCTAAAGAAGGCTAATGTTGGGCTATA